TTTGTCAAGGAAAGGGCGCTGCTTCTACGACCTTGAGAGTGCCTTTTAATTCAGTGACTTGAGGTAGGGTTACTGAAGGCTTCTGGAATTTCCCGAGTTCTTCGTACAGTTCCTACTTTCGTAACCTACCTCGCGACAGACATAGCAAACTCTCTTGCGTTCATTCTGGCAAAATTTTGGCGTGTGACCTACCTCACCGCAATTCCCACAAAAATACGTTGACAAATCAAATGTTCTACCGGTCTTCTTCGGTGAATTGCCGGAATTGTCCTTATATAACTGAAGATTTTTCTCCAGCCTTTCTCTAGCTAACGGTTTTGGATGTTTTCTGGAGTCGCTTGGAGCTTTAGTCTGCGCAACTAATAATTCTGCAGCATGACCGCTATTTTCGTTGCTAAGATTGTCGCTTTCTAACTCTTCATCACTGTCGTCTGATAACTCTACGATTTGATTTAACGTAGGAACTTTTCTCGAGCTAGGCCGCGATTTTTCTTCTTCATTGTTTGAAAACGTAACTGCGTGTGTTCACATAATGGAACAGTTCAGTATAATCTCTGATACGGAGATTTAATATCCCGAGCGCTAAGCGGGGACTGAATTTAGTTATAATTTGCCTGAGTTGACTCTCAAACTCAGGTGGCCTCTCCATACGCTCAAAAATCAGTTGGGCACGACTGGCAAATTCGGCGAAGGTTTCGCTTTTCCCTATGGTCATATCTCGGACTTCGCAGAGAAGATCGGCGTGACCTTACGTGAGGGCCTTCGAAAATCTTTGAAAGACAGAGTACGAAAAGGTCTTTATTTACACCGCTCATTGAGAATAGATCCTTTAGTAGGAGTAAAAATTGTTCAAGATATCTTTCGTTTGCTCGAAACGAAATTTTCCAGGAACTGACAATTCATCCGATTTGCATCGGAGACGGCTAAGAGTTTGAGTTACTCTCTCCTAAGACAAGGTTCTCGCTATCTCTACCGTCATAACTTCGTCTCCCACGAATACTTCTCCGAGCAGTTTGTCGATAGTACCTCTCAGAATCATCGTCAATGGAGTCACTAGTTCTCCAAGACAAACTACCTTGCCGAGGTGACAGGGTACGATCTCGACTCTCAGAAAATTTCGGGAGAGAATTAAAGGTTCTTGTCGAGGGGCTCGGTCCACGACTCACGCGACGCGCCTGGATGCTAGGTATTCCTTGGTTATTTTGTTGATTTTCCCGTCTGGTATTAGATTCCCCGCGGGTCGCCTCATTTCCCTATATTCGTCTTCAGTGACAAAAACTTCCTGCTGTTCGAATTGACTATTCGGCAATAGATTTCTTAAGACGACTCTGTATAACGGAGGAAGCTCCGCCACATCATCGGGATGGGGGTTTGCAGCTAGATTTTCTCGATTGCAGGCTTCGTTATTTTTAAAATTGACGTGCCTATTTCTTGCCCTTGACGTCGATTGACTTGACGGTCGAGCTTCATCATTTCGTCTTCGGTGTTTAGCTACTTGCATCGTCTGACGGAAGATCAGGTTCGGAGGAAGCACTACTGTCGGCTCCTCCTCCATCGCGCCCTAATGTACCCTGTGGCTTATCCAGCCGTGCAAGTGTTCCCTCTACTGCCGCCTGTAAACCCGACAATTATTCCAAAATCTGTTGAGACTTCTTGGGTACCCGAGACCGATCCGTTTGATTGCTGCTAAGGGGGTCGAGAGGGGAAGGCGTCCATCTACCTCGACCTCTACCTGCACTGGAGAGGTACTGACTATTTAGAGATTCTCTGGTTATCTGTTCCCCCTCGGGAATGAAATTTTCCTCGTCAGAATCTACTTCATTCATTCCCTCACTCGGATTTACTCTACCGTCCATCCTATTTCTCGGCGGAGTACGCGCTGTCATTTTCAAAACTCGGGATCGTTTTGTCGGGACGACGAGCAGAATTTATGGGGCTCTGACAACCGGTTTTATTTTGTTTTGAATTGAATTTTCGGAATTGAAATATTCGCCTAAAATTTTGATTTTAATTCCTACTCATTAATCCTCTCAAATCCTTTGACAATAGCTATTCGCTCCAGGGTTAACCGCTGATTGCTCGGTTACGATTAGACAATTTACTAACCCGCTCCGTGTTGGGTCTTGGCTTATTCACTGGCGGCACAACAACAAATAAATATTTTAATTACGAGACAACGACGAAGTGAGATTCTGTCGAGACTCTACGATTAATTTTCAAATTTTAGGTCAACGACGTTCGTATTATTCCCTCAATAGTCACGGCTGTGGTTGCTCCAATCCGGTTGGGCAAATATTCCACAGTTTGCCGCACACAATACATTGTGACGAGGCACTTTTTCAGCCCCTCCCCTGCTCCCTAATGATTACTTTTTTTTTAGATTCAATTAGATATAAGTAGTTTAAGTATTTTAATCCATTACGGCGACGAGGTTACAAAACCTGTCACCGTTGGCTCCCACTCCCAAAAATATTCCTTCCCTTGCCCCTTGCCCCCCTCATCGCTACGCTCACGCCGCGGGAAACATCACCAGCGATGCAGAGAAGGAGAAAATGCCCCCCCTCCCCCCACCCGGCACTCCCCTCGTCCCCACATGCGCCCGACGGAAGACAGGAACAACCCCCCCACGACTACGTCACAGCCCACGTGACCACAGAAAGAAAAAGGACATTCCCCAACAATAGAAAAATTAAGAGTAATGACAAGGACACTCAATGACGAGTGTCCCCGATTGGCCCCGATTATCACTGATAATCGGGGAAGACGAACCACGAGGATGGGGAAGCCATTACTCGTTCACAGCCACCCCCGATTTTTCGGAGAGATTTTGAGAAGTTGTTCATTGGAGAAAGTTTAAAAAGTTATTGGTTGGAGAGATTTTGAGGAGCTAATTTAAGAATTGTTTGAGGAGTTATTGGACGGTGTTATTTTGAGGAGTTATTGTGGGAGTATTTTTTGGAACATCGTGAGAAGTCTGCGGGGGAATATTTGTGGAGGATTTCGAGGGAGAGTGGATACTCGTGTGTGGCGGATTCTCACTAGACCCGGGAGTGAGGACAAGGCGGAACAACCATTATGGATTATTTTGTTTGGAGCAGTTCCCGTACCCTGAGAGTTTTATTTGGAAGGATTAGAGTAGCCGCCATTCCCGTGAGTACCTTTCATTACCTTTCCCGTCCCACCAAATATCAACGCACCCCCTGTAATATTAGTTCCTCCAATGGTGAGCCTCAAAATTCAATAATTATTAGTGTAATTGTGTCGAGAGAGATATCTGTTGCGATTATCGTGACACCCCTAATTCACCCCTAATTCACCCCTTTGTTTCTGATCGACTGGCTTCCCCCCTCTCTTTCTTATATATTATTCCTTTCAACATCATTATTACTTACCTGTGTGTCGCAAGTGTGCTGGCCGTACCCCCCACCCTTGGTTAATTATTAAGAGAAGGCCTGGAATTCTCGTGTATTAGTTCTTATATTTAGATATTCAAACATTTCTCAAAATATACAGTTTTTATCCATACTACCCCGCCCGAGTAATTATTCACCTCCCCATTATCGTTTCAGGTCCCCCCCCCCGTTAACTTAATGGAATTTCCCCAATAAAATAATATATGTTAGCTATTCCCTAAAATTCGTGCCTTCACCGGGAATTAATATATTCAAGTCCCCGGCCAAGGTCACAACATAAAGAACACGTAGTCACAAAATTGGTTTTGACAATTACGGAATGAGGTCCGACACTTGCCAAAATACGTTTAATATTTATTTCAGCTTTTTATTTATTAATTTACTTTTCAATATATTAGTTTCATGGTTTTTCTTGACTCTCGCTGGGGCGTGTTCTCCTCTAATTATTGCCAACTGGTCATAGCAAGGTAGGATCCAAGTTGGTGTTCTTTATTTCATCGTCCGGATAATATACATCCGCGGAGATATTAATAATTTTATTGACAAAAAGAATTGTCATTAGGGGGAACAAGATCTTGCCCTAGTGACAATAATAATTATATATTAAATTTTTGGAGACTTATTCTCTCCGTTAATTGTGGTTGAGACGTACAGTTACGAAATATTATAATACATAGATGAGAATGAAAATGAAATGAAACCTTGACTACACAGAGGTACAATAGACAGACCGAATTCTGAGAAGTGTTTGTTTATTTTATGGCGCTTGACCCAGCGTTCGGTGTCCGCTGCGTCGTAACTGCCCAGTAACCGAATGAAACGTGAAATATTATTTCAGATACTCTGACTTTACTTTATTTTAAATTCACGTCCTGTTTACAATTGACATTTTACTCGAAATTTTACGCAAAGTCGCCCCACGTCGGGCGCCAATTGAGACAGGATCTTTTTTTGACGACACAATTTTATCAATTTTACAAAAGATCCCACCCAGCGCGGCTTGGGCAAGAGCTGCAGGGGCTCAAGAAAATTGTCGATTAATTGTTGTCGGGCGCCAGTCAACTTTGATGAGGTTGACTACTCAATTTTTCAACAACTTCATTGCAGGGTTAGACTCGATCAGGGTTGGTGCGACTCTGGTGACCCGTAAGAGAATAGATTTATAGGTGATAGACCAAGAAGAGACAATTTACAGAACCACGGGTTACTTACCCATGTAGGGTGATACAAACGGGTTGATAATCGGCCCAATATCGGTGCCGACATTGCCGATAATCGTCACCGATCATTCGCCGATCTTCGGCCTTATATCGGCTCGTTACAATACGCCGATAAACGCTACCAATATAGAACCGATGATCGGCGAACATAATCGGCCGTATACTCACTCTTGAGTGGCCCGATATTCGGCCACATCTTTAATTTTAAGTAAATCGATAGTCGGCCTTCTATACAATTTCGAGGGGGCCGATGATGGTCGCAAGTAATAAAAGGTTCTATGTGAAGAAAATTCAGTTTTAAAATTTTTTTATTGATAAAGTATGAACGGACCAGGAATTAGTACATCCATTGTGATTTAAATTTTTTGAGAAAATATTAAGAACTCTGAATTTAAGAATCTCTATATTAATATTGAGATTTATTTTTTCTTGTTTGTTGCTGTTAGTTACGGATTGTTATTGTTGTTGATTGTTGATTGTGATTGTATTTCCCCAACTCTGACACGTTGTTTTCGTCCTCCTTCACGATCTTGCCATGTAGCTAGCCAAACTCCCACGTGGGAAATTAATTTGGGACATGTCCCCCATCGGTTTATCATTGCAGCTGGAACAAAACAATGGCAATGAAAAAATGAGTTTAATTGAAAATTAAGTGAGAGTTAAAGGAACATTCGAAAAAAATGTTGATTTCTGTTTAAAAACAGTTTCATGATCTTTTTTAAATGCAAATTTTTCAAATTTCGCCTTTATTTATGAAAAAAAAATTTCTTTTAGAAACTTTTCATTTTTAAATTACTACTCCTTGTTTGGGAATAAGCCTGATTTGTTCTCTGTAATATTTTTATTTTCTTAAAAGAAATACTGAAGAGTGTTTTCCATATAGTAGTAGGAAACTAAATCGTCCGTCAAGTCGAAAGCGATGCCCCAGAAATTTTCCGAATACTATGAATAGCAAGAAATAGTTACCTTTAAATAATTACCTTCAAAGCAAGCATATGTAGCTGTATCCTTAAAACAACGCTTGACTGCAGAAGCCTTCTTCATCCCTTGGCCGGAATAATGTGATTGCACGTTCTTGTCAAGTATAAAGGGAAGAACTTTAATAATACATTCTTTGGTGGTAGTATAGTTTACACTCAAATACTCCATAAGCTGCGTCTTTGAAATTAGAACAGATAATTTAAATTACAACCAATCCGAATAAAAATAATATCAATAGTAAGAACTAACAATATCGTACAAAAGCCTTCTTCTTGTCCTGAATAAGATGAAGTTCCGCTTCAAAAGCCAGAAAACCCTCTAGTGTAGTTAGTGGGAAAGTAGTACCAAGTGTTTCTTGAATTTTCTTATAATCATATTGTATATTTTCACTCTTTCAAGCTGTGATATTGAGACTAAGAGCTTTAAGTTTATGTTCAGTGTCATAGAGAATGCTGCGTTTCATAGACTCGATTTGTGTTCGTAGTCCTTTGAATCGTTTATCCATATACTCAATGTCCATGCATTCCGTTGGAACTTGAGAGAAAAAATAATATTAGAACTATTCACCGACTGAAATATTTCGGTTAATGAAGGAAAAAAATCGATAAATTACCTTGTTTTTTCTTTGAACACTTTGGAGTTTCGGAGACAGATCTTCTCACGGATTCTTCCGAATCAATGCTCATGTTCGAAACTGCGAAATAAATGTTATGATTCGATGAAGATATACAGTCCTGTGCCAATGTACATTTTCTTAAATTTAAACTTTGTTTCAAAAAATTATTCAGTTAACTTTAAAATTTTTCCACTGAATTTTGTTACAACTAATCAGATTTCAAATTAAATATGTATACACTTTCCCAAAAAAAATATTTCATCAATATTAATTTTAAATCGTTCAATATTTAACAGAATACGGAAAAGTGATTGGAAAAATCTTGAGTGATTATTTTTCTCAAATTCTCACCACTATTTCTACAGTAGCTTCGTACATTCCTCTTTTTATTTGACTCCAGTGAAGAATATAGAGCGTCACTATCTAAGAAAGTACAAAAAGATTTAATTATAAAGGAGAAATAAAATGTGAACACATACAAAAAATGGATTTCAAACCTAAAATCATTTCTGGACTTCGATTGGAGGCTGTGGAGTCTCTCTGAAAATGAATATCATTTCTCTGAGGAGATGTACCATCATCCCAGGAGGTGTTATCGGAAGTACTAGTTACACGAACTCGATTGTTCTCTCGTTTAGGTGTCGAGGATAGAGAAGACAAGGTAACTTCTTTTGGTTTGGCTCCTCCTTGAACTCTTGGAGACTCAACAACTCAACTCTGCTTTGGCAGTTACTTTCGTCACAACGTTCGTCCGTATCGAAATTGTATTTCTCAGAACTTCATCAACTTTGTCTTTAGCTAGAACTGGTGGTTTTTTAGTTTTCATCATTTCTGTGTTTGTGCTAGCACAATGGATCTCCCTGCATGCACGATCAGCATGTCTGTTAGCTTGCTCAAGCGTATCTATCAAGCATTAACCAAAAATGGAAATAAAAGTTAATATAAACTGTCTATTATTATGTGGTGCATTCTGCGTCAACTCAGTAACTTCTCCTATGATCTTACACCAGCAAAAACAGTTCTCACGATTTTTCTAAATTTTTTGCTCGCATGAAAACGAAAGACAGTAATTTTGCAAATGGAAAAAGAGTCAATTTTTTTCATAAAAGTAAAATAAATTTTTAAAAATGTGAGAAGAAGGGAAAGTCACACAAAGTACCATACCAATTTTACAACAGAATTTAAAGAGGTCATATTGAAAGTGAAAATGTTTGAAACTCACCAGCACCAGCCAAAATTTTTACTATAAATGTCTCCCACGTAGGGTCAGCTGCTTCTTCCCTCAACTGTAACATTCGTTTGTACAATTTTTGTGGTGGATATTTGCACAAATACCGATCTCCAATAGTTTTCATGATCCACGATCCTGGCATCACATCGATTTCTTTTTCACCTTGTGCTCTATCTTCTTCGACGAACCAAATAACTGCATACTGACGATTATAGGGTTGAGCCATAGTAATGATTTTTCTATCAGCATTCACCGTCACAAATCACTGAGTAATATAGGCACGAAAAAAAATCACTGATAATATATTCAAAACTATGTATCAGTTGAACAGATATTCACAATGATGAATAAGCCTTTATATATTTATATGATATCACCGGTCGCTGATAGCAGTAACGATAAATGAGGTTTACCACCGCCACGAATTTCTTTTTCTTTCCCAAGCAAGGTGTTCAATCGTGAATTCTTATTCGGTGATGTCGGCGAACCGATTTTGTTCAGTCAAGCACGGGAAACATAAAAATACCTATTTCTTATACTATATATTAGGCAACGCATGCAAAACGTAGATTGTTTGTGCGGTCTTGTCGAAAGAGTCGTGCGGCGTCTTCTTCTTCTGCTTCTAATTTTTATTGGCTCTGACTACAAGTCGTGCGGCCGTTATTCCCAGTGTGGGAACATTACATGGAAATGGGTGGGAGGTGGTAAGGTAGGGAGTGAGAGAGCGTAGAGAAAAGGCGGGAGATATATGAAAATAAGTTAGATAGATTTATGGATAGATTTTAAATAGTTGTGAATGAGGTACGCAAGTTTGGAGCTTGGGTCGGAGATTAATTTTAGGATATTGAATGAGGAAATTTTTAATTTTTTAAGTGCTTTAAGAAAGGGAGTGCGTTCTTTCGTATAAATAGGACAGAACCAGAAAATATGGGGGAGGGTTTCGGGAAGTTGACATTCACAGAGCGGAGAGTTGGTTAAATTTTTTCGGAAGAGGCTGACATTAAAGTTGAAATGGTTGGATCTCATTCTAGAGATAGAGGAAATTTGGGGTCTGTCAATCTCTAAAGATTGGAACCAGGGGGGGCGGAAACCCTTGTAGAAATGTTTGAAGTAGAGAGACCCTTTGCGGCTGCTTTGGGTTCTGAGAAGTTTAGAGGTTTTGGCCTTCATGCTTTTCGTGATCGATTCTTTGAAGTCAGAGTTAGGGATGCAAGTGTTATGAAAAGTGCCATTGGTAGTGGCTTCTTTGGCATGGAGATCGGCGGCATCATTGCCTGGGATGCCCACATGAGAGGGAATCCAGATGAGGGAGATGTGGTATCCGTTGAGGGAGAGAGTAGAATAGAGTTCAAGAATTTCGTAGATTATATGAGAGGAAGATTTTTGGGTTGAGAGGTGGAAACGTCGTGCGGCGTCATGTCGAGTAATTCCAAGAATGGACGAGTATCAAGCGCTCACCGCGGACACTTTTGTACTGAATTCAAACTCGGAACTGCGCAGCCAGTCTCCTTTGGAAAGCAATCAATTTCGAGGACGAAAAATCCTAATTAATTCCATTTTTTCGGAAGATTTTTTTTTTAATTTAAATTTAATATTAAAAATGTTGATTGAAATGTTGTAAATTTATCCTTGAATATCAGATCGGAGATCAAAAAAATTGTTGCAATTTACTTAAATTATTCCTGGTGACTATGGTGAGCATGTAGAAAAGTCGTGGCGAATTGAGAATTGTTCAAATTGAATAATACACACTTATATTTCATTTCAGTTGCTGGAATAATTATCTTTTCTCGTGAAAACTTTTCTATTTTAATAAGACCGACATCGATGGAAGAAATTTCACAATTGTGGGTTTGACATGTGAATAACTGTCGTCTTCTGATTTCTTCGTATCCTATAAAATGTAAGCCTTTAATACCTGATTCCCCCATTTGTTTCATCACTATTTGATCAATGAGAAAAATTTTCCAACTGGATAAAATGATTGTATTGTCAGGATGAGTTGCCTTTAGAGTCACTCCTGACATCAATATAGAAGATAGAGCAACGAATCTTTGATCATCATAAATTAAAATGCCACAACCAACATCAATTTTTAAACTACTCATGATTGAACGTTTTTTGACCTGAATTTTATCAGATTCTAGTTCACTTAATCTATTAGCAATTTGAGTAACCGGTTTTGATGGAGATTTGACAAGTTTTTTAAAGTAACCAATGTAATTTTCACCCCAAAAGGCTGACAACTCACTCAATGTCACTCCGAAAGTATCTACATCATCTGTTATATGTAAAATATTATGAAAACTGAGGATTTCAGATTTTTGATCATACAGTGACGGTAACAGATAGAAAAACTTTCGTAATAAATCTCTGGCACATTCCCGATGAGTCACAATTAACTCTTCATAATTCAAAATACGACAAGCTGCAGGTAAAATATTACGCAGTATTATGGGCCCACAGTAGTGCAAGAAAAAACGAAACTGTGTAGCCTTCAATCTTGGAAGACAGTAAATATGAAACGTTTTACGTTGAAATTCCATGGGTACATTAGTAGCTACCTGGTCTAATAACAATTGTATATTTTTAACTTCACTTAATTTAAGGCGTTCTGCACTTTTCCGAGTTATCCATTTTTCTAAAAGTCCTCTCATTATACCTGAATACAATAAATGCATAGAATCGAGAACTACGTGCCGAACTGGATCAAAACCACAGATTTTCAATAGGGGACTGTTGTCAACATGATGATGCTCCGAATGCTCTCTGCTCTTAAATGATTCCTTCGTTCGTTTGGGGCAGTCCATCTCCGAATACACACGTGTCTTATGGCGGCCTTCTTCAACGAATATCCCACTCGTTGTGCATCGCTCACAGGCAAAAAAACCACCAGGCGCTTTGCAACATTTTATAAATGCCCGGGCAGGCAAGTCTGCAACTATAGCGAAGATTTTGAAAGAGTAATTCCTATCATGTAGCTTAACTGCATTTTCTGTCAACGAATTGGCCACGATAACAAAATCCTTTAAATAATCTTCTACAGAATCTGGCTTGCAATCTCCAGCGTAAATTCCAACCACAGCAGGAGAAGTGTCGTAGTCTGGATGATAAATTTTGATAGTTATGGGCCAAACCACCATCTTGGAGTTGTTGTAGAGCTGCATACCGTCGATGTGCACTAGTAAGGCAATTTGTTCTTCTTTATATACAGATGTAGATACCATCCGATAGATCATATTTTCTATTCCAATGTATATATATTCACCTTGTTTTTTTGAAACACTTAACATAGATTCTAATTCTCTACGGTGGGGAGTATGAACTAATGCCTGGCATGTCTTTGGTAATTCCCTATGTCCTGCTGCTCGAAGAATCTCTAACAATTCAGAAACGACAGTCCAATTCAGTGACGTTGAATATTTTAAAGTCCAATCTCTCAAACTTTGGGTTAAATTAATTTGAAGTGGAATTTCAGGAACATTGCCCTCTCGTTTATGATCATCATCATTGTGACAATCATCTACGTTGATTCTATCACTGTTAATTGAGCAAATACTCATATTTTGTTCAAAACTACTTGATAGAGCAATTATTTCACTATCCAAACTCTCCAACAGTACATTTTCATTGCAATTAGATTGAACATCATAAGACAAAATTTCATCCTCGTCCAGTCGCACGTTTTGGAGGTTAGAATTGCTGTGGTTCAACTCCACGTCAACACTACTTTCCTGAGAACTTCGTGTTTATCTCAAAGAACGAAATTTTTTCATTCTGTAGGCGCTTGACATTGTTTTTTTTTTCACTTGCGTTCACTGTCACAATAAATGTCTTCGATATATCGACATGCATCGTTACCTCTATGAGGTGACCACACACATGTAAAAAATTCGTATAGGGATGTTCTATATAGGACGTTGCTATACGGTGATTCTATAGAAATTTCTATACACGAACTATGTATAGAATTGTTCGAATATCATACACGATAAACATATAGAATTCCTATAGAATCACCGTATAGAAACGTCCTATAAACCATCTCCATACGATTTATTCACACGTGCGAACGCCCGAATGTTGGCCGATTAATGGATAGCCGATAATCGGTGTACCAATGTACTGCCGAATATTGGCCGATGAGCCGGTAGCCGATATTCGGTATGCCGACCTTGGGCCGATCATCCGCTGCGTTGTGTATGTCGGCAAACCCTACATGGGTACTTTACTGCCTCGGGAACCGCTCTCCTAGACTTAGTAGACAAATCACAGAAAACACAAAAGTTCAATTGACAAAAATATATTTTAACTTAAGACAATGGCAATCGCCGTACAATATTAGTATAGACAACGGAGAACTTATTCTATGATCGCCCGATACGAGAGTGCCGTGATTTTCTTCACGCCAGGCACTTGTTGAGAGCGGCCCGAATGCTGTGCAATTCTGTTGACAATTTTTCTTAAAGGGCCCCCTCATTGGCTCGGGCCTCTTGGTTAAGTTTTATTTTCCCTAGTTGACAATTGTATTTTCGACAACGACTAATCCCCTACGAATTCCCGAGGCTGACGTTTGGGAATTTTATATCCGCGTTACACAGTATCCCTGATGGTTGGCACCCAGAGCTAACCCAGAGTGAACCCAGACTGGGTTGTGTCCAGCAACCCAGTCTGGGTTGGGCAAAAACACAGAGTTGAGGTTAAATATTGAATTTGGAGGAGATCTAAACGCAGGGTGTACTATGATCTTTTTCCGATTGTTGCTGAGTTATTTTAAGTATATAATGATATTGCTGAAGGATGTGGATAATTAAATGAATATGTTTGAACGCTAATGTGTTAGCTCTGGGTAAAATCCAAAACCCAGACAGATGATTTTTATTCATTAACGAGGTAGCAATGTTGGTGAACAATTCTGGGGATAACTGTATGTTCAGAGCGACCACGGGAGGTGTATTAAAATAAGGGGAAGGGTGGCAACGATTGTTTGAGGGATGAAATGCCAACTCTGGGTCAACACTGGGTCACAGTCTCCTTCCCAGAGTTGTCTTTCTCTATATTTAATTTTTTTTTAATATTGAGAAATAAATAAAAGGGGTGAATAAAAAGAATCATTTAACCATTTTTCTATGTCCCGATATTGAAAAAAATTAAATAAAGAGAAAGACAACTCTGGGTTGGGGACTGTGACCCAGTCTTGACCCAGAGCTGATAGTTTTCACTTTAAATATAT